TGTGTGTGTGTGTGTGTGTGTGTGTGTGTGTGTGTGTGTGTGTGTGTCATGAGAGAGAGAGAGGGAAAGATTAGAAAACTGTGAAGAAAAGAGGTTTCTGATGTGGAAATATTTTTTACAGTGTCTGCTTCTGAGAGCGGGTGCGTGACTGCGGCAGTGTTTATTTTATTACATAAATTGCCTCCCATATTGTTTGTTTGGCCTGTAACACAAAGAACTGATCTTGGCTGTGCTTTCTGACCCACCTAGATGTGTTCTCCAGAGTGCTGCGGACTTCGCTCATCTGCTCGTTCCCAAAATACACCACCGTCAGATGGACCTGGCCGTCCTGACGCACACAGACTTCCCTGTACGTATACACAAACACACACACACACACACAGACACACACACACACACACACACACACACACACACACACACACAGGAAGGGACATTATAGATGAAAGCCTTCTCAAACTCAGCAGGAAGGAAGAGCACTGTGAAGCAAGAAAAAATGTCAAGTATTTACAGGTTTCAGCTTCTAAAATGTGATGGTTTACTACTTTTTCTCTGTTTCATATCTCTATGAATTTGATCTGTCTGGGTTAGTTGGACAAAACATGCATTACAACAACACCACCTTTGGATCTGGTATGGTTCATGTTCTTAATTTATAATGATACAACTAAATAATTTAATTGCTAATGGCAATAATCTTCATTCTCAGCTATAATCCTGACTCTCTACTCATTCTTACACTGTGTTAAAGCACAGGGGAGAGATTGTGCATGAGTAAAAGAGAGACCAGGTGGGAGATGCCTGCGGGCACTTTGATGGAGAAATGTCAAATATATCACACATATGCTGAAGATAATTCACCTCCTCTCCCATAGCACACACACATTTGTTAGAGTTTTGCCCAGGAGTACATAGGGGAAAATGTCTTATAAAACACAACTAGATACCTAAAAATGACTAAATATATGCAGAGAATATTAAATAGTCATGAGTAACAAAATGTTTAAGGACACTATAGATGCTGTTGTGTTAAATCCTTTCTCTAAATGCTTATAGATTTTTGTCACTGGCACCACAAAGTAGATAGTTATTTCATAATAAATCAGTAGCAATATTGCTCTTTAAACTGCAGAATGCTCATCTGCAAATGTTTGCAGTTTGCTTGTGTTTGTATGATTTCACATTGTATCTCTATATTATGCACTTGGGAAATACTGTATATCACAGTGCATCATAAATGCTGGTATTTTCCAGGCTCAGTGTGAAGAAAGAATATTTGATATATTCGCAGTTATTCACCATTATCACCCCCTAAACACACACACACACACACAATTTCTCCCAGTACCCCTTTAATATGGATGAGGGTAAAGTGTTTGCTCAGCGACTCGCCGAGTCTTTCAAGTAAGTACACTTCTTGCCATGCTGTATATCAACTGCTGCTGGTCTGCCCAGGGGGGGCATTTTAATGGGTTGCAACACTGCTACTAAGCAGGATTTACCATGTAAAAAGAGCTGTGATAAGCAGCAGCAGCTGTCCAATAAATCACAGACATTAAGAAAGATGTTTCCAACTGATGGTGATGGATTGCGGAGCTGAGACAAGCAGGCTTTGCTGTTAGCTGATGATGTTGTGACTGCTAGTCAAAATAGGATTTTTTCTTTTTTTTTTTCAATGATAGCAGTTATTTATTCATATTTAATTTCACTTTGCAGAGAATCAGTCCTTTATAGTTTTTATTTTTCCAATATCCTTGGTTTAATCACATAGATACTCGCCTGGATCCATTTGTGATATAATGTGGTTTATTTGAGATGCTTAATTGCTCTATGTATTCAAGGTCATGTGGAAACTGATGAAAACTGAGCTGGGATCTGTGAGGGTATCTTTATTCATGCTCTTATATGAATCATTTAAATCAATCAGTTTTGTTTACATTCTAATTATGCCTACCAGCGCCTGAATAAATTAACTGATAACACTGCAGACTGCACATGCAAAAAAAAAAAATTCTGTTCTCTAATATCGCCCTCTTTACCCCAATTAAAATGTAAAACTGAAATAGAAGCATGGGTTTGAATAACACAGTATCACATTCTCCTGAGTTTAGTGTGACACAACAAACCGTCCTGAATAATTCATTGTGGTGCTTCTGTTTATGCCTCATTGTTTGTGTGACTTTGCAATCAACAGCTGGCAACATAATAACAAAATCTAAATTCTGAGAAGAGGTTCAATCATCGAGTCTCACCTGAAGTTCTGCATGAAATGCTTGAACTTGTCTGTGCGTCTGGACAGCGGCACGATGATGTTGATCGGGATGTTGGCTGTGTTCACCCTCTCGTTTTTCGCCTTCATCAGCGGTCCAAAGGGACGGAAGAGGACCAGGCGTCTGAATTCATGACTTGACTCCCCTCTGAAGGTCAGCTCGTACAGTGTCCCTTTGTCCTTCTCTGTGCGGGTGATACCTGATGGGTGAGAGACAGCGACATAAAACTTAAATAACATAAACATTAGTGCCAGTGACCGTTTTCAGTATATTCAGTGTATAAGCCTGTTTAAAAGAAAAAACATTATTCTATTTAGCGTGGTATCAATCTTCTCATCTAAGTCCTGGCAACACAATTCAGAACTATTCCTTTAAATCTTGCAGCTATAAACAAACAACTACTATAAATTGAACTTCTAGTAACTTTGAGAAAAAAAAACAGTGACTTGATTTTTGTTGCACATAGTGCGTTTTAAAGTCAGATTTTAGTTTCTGTGCCTGAAGTTTCTCTGACTCTTTCTTTATCGCAGTGATTTGGTTTTTCTTGTTTTTCCCAGGGTGCAGCTTTTATTTAAATCCCTTGAGAATTTCTGTGTTTATGCCATGGATCATGTTGTTCCCTGCTATTTTTTAACAGCGAATCTTAAAAGATATCTGAAAAATAAGCATTCTTTAAGGGAACATAATTTTTAGCATGCCACAGGAGCCACTGTCCAAACTCTGCTGTTGCTTGGCAAAGAGCCATAACTGCACATACGTAACACACACACAAATACACGCACACACACACACACACACACACACACACACGCAGGGGGAGAGGGGCTATTCCGGTCATCCAGACCGATTTTGTTGTTGCAGGCCTTAAGTCAGCTTGTTCCTCCAGAGAGAAGTTGTTTTTTCAATTACTCTGCTATTAAAAGCATTATTACTTGAAAATGGACCTACTGAGGTCTGTGGGGGAAATAAGAAAAGGGAAATGAAAGGGAGACGTGAGACCTGAGAGAAAAGAGGAAGAAAACACATTACTGGAAGAGCTGGGATGACAGGAAAAGAGCAGACAGAAATAAAAAAAAAAAAAAGTGAAAGCAAGTCAGAAAAAGAAGAAGCGAACAGAAAGATGTCTGTGGGCAACGACAGCAACTTTGATTAAAGCCTTCCTGTTAAATTAGCTAACTTCCTGTGATGAGACACGATAAGCAGTCATTTAGTAAATAGGCTGAGCAATTTAGACTAAATGCCTTCACTTCCTGTCTCTGTCCTTCCGTCTAACTGCACTTATTCTGTCCCTTTCTAAGGATAGAACTCAGTGGCTGGCAAGTTCATTTTGCATACCTCCTCTATTTGTGTTCAGTTTCAGCTCACTAGCTTGCCAATGCAGCCTTGAAGGCTCCCTGAAGATGCCTTTGTCAGTGCGGCCATCTAGACCACCTCGGGTTGGATAAATTCGCTGCTTGTTCAAGATCTGCGTAAAATCAATGTCGGAGTCCATTAAGGAGCATTAAGAGCAAAGAATAGGAGCAGGACCTAGCTATTTCATTAGAAGCTAGCTGCACTCTCCTGCTGTTCTGTGGAGGAATTGCGGAGGCTGTTTACAAATGTATCTATAAAAATCACTGTCACATAAACACACTGACATTAAGGACCACACACCAGCTGCATACAGTGACTTATGGCTCATTTCCTACAAGCCAGGAGCCCCTATTGATCACTTTAACCCCCCCCCCCCCACCACCACTCACATACTGAAGTTGGTGTCCTCAAAAAGAGCAGACACACACACACACACACACACACACACACACTAAAATGCCCTGTTTGAAGAGATGCTCCACTTTGAATGAGGAGCATCTGAGTTAATTTCCTGAGGTTGGGATCAGAGCTGAGCAGAACAAATAAGGAGGATATCCTGGCTGTACTTGTACACAAACACACACATATTTCTGATCTTCCAGGGATTCATGTACGGAAAAAATAAAAGATCAAAGCAACCCAAGGTTGAAGAAGAAAGTTGAGTGTAGTGTTTGGATGTAGAAATGTGTTCAGGACGTTTATATAGGACTAATTTGTTTTGGTCCATAAGCATAACTTCCTGGAGACATCTGATGTGTTCTCACCTTCTACGAAGTCAGATGGTGTGTACAGTTTGCTTGTTTGAGTGTTTTGTTCTGCTGCGCTCCTGCTGTCTTGCTGGGATGACGGCGTGTTGAGGCTGTGCAGGGCCGTCTCCAGCACCTCCCCCAAGGCCTCTCTCTTGTCCTTCCTCACAGGCTTCTCCTCGGGGTGACGCGTCAGCCCCATCTCCAGCTGGTACACCCTCTGCAGGGTGAAACTCTCAAAGGGCACCACTGCGTACTCGCTGGGCAATCGAGTTCCAGTGGTCACTTCGGCCTTCGACAGCTGGCTCCGCAGGAAATCCTGGAGGTCTGCCTGCTGGCTCCTGGCTCCCTGAGAATCCCCGAGACCACCTCCCTGTGACCCAGCCTCAGCTTCCTGTCCAGCCGCTGGGCCCCCCGTGGCTCTCTTCAGGCTCTCCTGCACTCCTTTCAGCTGCTGGCTACGCTCCTGCAAAGCCTCCTTCAGCTGAGCTATCTGCTTCTTCAAGGAGGAGATGTGGAGGTGGTGCTGTTCCTCACGCTCTTGGAGGAGAACCTGATAAGATTGAACACCAGGGGGTCCACCGCTCTGAGCAGCCCCACCTTGGGCTCCTCCTGTTCCAACGGCTCTCGCTCCAATCCCTGGCCCCGTGCCCCCCAGGCTGGGGTGGTTGGGTCTGGCACGGGGGAGAGCGTGGCTCAGCAGGGGGTCGTCAGAGTGCAGTGGACTGCAGGTCATCACATAGAGGAGCGACAGGGAGCAGCAGAGGAGCACCAGCACGCCTCCAACACGGCAGACCCAGGCTAGCAGGCCACGCCGCAACATCGCTGCATGTAGCATCAAAACTCACTCCTCTGTGTTAAACATACACACAAAGACATATCATGTAACCTCACACACTCCAGCCACGAAGATAAGAGTCCATTTGTGATTATGTTCCATCACCCAGTGACAAGGCCAGCTACTTATCAGTATGAGGTCATTTCATCTGAATTAGGTCATTGCCTCTCCAATGTCTGAGATCGTAACTTGTTTTGACATTGGCAAAGTCAGCATATGAGAAAAAGCACTTTCTCCCTTTCCGTCGGTCCAATTAGCTCCATGGTCAGCTGGAAGACTCACATTGTTACATCACTTGACTCATATGTGACTCATCTTTTTCGCTGACTCCCTAAGTCAGTCCATAACGTCCTCTTCGCGTCGGCCCCCAGATGAAGCGGCTATGACGGATGGAGCAAAAATTGAGTTTTTGAGTTTCCTCATGTCGTTTCCCTGGCAGAGAAAACAGAAAGAGAGAGAGGTTTGTCATTCTTTACATCTTGATCTCCAACAAACTCCATCACATCAACATTACTTGTGTCATTTAAAAGTCAGAAACACGCCAAACCACGCTGACATGTAACTTTAGGATGGCAAAAAAAAAGGGTTTAACTGCCTTCGCCAAATTAAGCATTCCTTCAGGACTGCAGCTCCTGGAAAACAATGTTGTCACCAGTGTTTGAGAACATGAGGCAGCAGAGTGCAAGGGTGTGGGCTTAGAAGTGAACAGATGAGTGTTTGTTATTGTGAGTGTGTGTTCAGTGGATACAGAGGAAAGTAACTGGGACACATCTGTCTATCTATATATACCTACATACAGTATAAAGCGGGTGACTTTATTATGCCACACAGCCAACTATTTATTAATTTATTTAACTTTTCATTCAACACAGCATCTCTTGAGATACATTATCTCTTCTTAAATGACACCCTTGCGTACTTAAAACCATTACACTCATCATGAAGCATGTTTGTGTGGTGTTTGAATGACTGCTAAGGCTACATCAGTGGTTCAGAAAGCGAATAAGTATTTCCAAAACTATTACTTTAAATATAAGACTACAGCCGGTTGCATGTTAGCATAGCTTATCATAAAGACTGGAAACAGGGGTGATCAGTGAGCCTGTCTCTGTCCGAAGATAAGAAAATACGCAGTCACATCAAAATCTCACTATGACAAGTTTTGTTGCCTTTGGACAGAGCCGTGCTAGCTGCTTACCCCTGTTTTCAGTCTTTATGCTAAGCTAAGCAAACCATTTAGTGGCTCTAATTAGTGTGGAGACGAGTGGAATCAATCTCTTCATCTAAGCCTCAGAAACCAAAAAATAATTCCTAAATGTTCTATTATTCCTTTAAGGGAATAAGAAAAAAATAAATAAATAATATAATATTTCTGATTCACAGCATCATGTTTTTCTTTCTTTTGCTTTTGTCTTGTGAAATACGTCAGGCCTCTCTTCAGGCCTCTAAAAATCCTTGATCCCAGATGTAAAAAGAGTTGATGTTGCTTCATTTGAAGGGGTCCCAAGCCAAAGATCATTAACAAACCATAAATATAAGAAGGTAGACGCTGTCTTACACACCAGACCAGTACAGAAAAGGGGAGTTTCATTAAGTATATTTGGATGTGTGAATGTGAGTCTGCATATACTGAGTATATATATATACATATCTGTAAATGTATCTGTGTGTATCAGAATGGGTCTCTCTTCACTCCCCACACAGTCAGCTCTTTGACAGGGCTGCCTGAAGCCGAGCCTAATGAAAGGATTAGTATGTGGAAGGAGTGAATACTGGACTGTGCTCTAACAGACGGCTGAATCAGGGAGGCAGGGCGTCTGTCCAGCAGGACCTTGGAAATGGACTTTGGAAATGTTTGAGCAGAGGGTGCTCGGGGGAAAAGTGGGTGAGCGAAAGCTGGAGAGCAAAATATGGCTACTGTGTGATGGAGGATCATCCTTTCAATTACAGGAAATTCTTTGTGATGTCATTATATGAGTCCTTAAATATGGCATCACATTAATGGTGTGGTGGCAGTTTAAACACTTTCTTTGGTTGGTTCACAAGCAGCTTGTTAGTTTTGTTTCCAAAATGGGAACATTAGAATAATTACATCACTTCTCTATCGATGACTTTAACTTTCCTTGTTTTATGACTTACTGTAACAAGCTACACTTTGGAACTGATGCCATGAACCACAAGCCATTCAAACTAATTAAAGCGTGCATTCAATTCTGACAATGTGAAGGTCATATTGTCTTTTATTGGGCAACAAATGCACTACTTTGCATTTTTGACTAAAGTAAGCCTCAGTTAGGGGCAGGGCAACATGCTCATCTTCAAACAATTACCAGTGAATATAACTTATAGCTATTCATTCTAAAACAACTAATGATAAAAGTAATTTAACACATTTTGTTAAAATCTCGTTTATGCCAAGACGTCTCTCACAACGAAAAATATAAATTTTACAATAAGCTATTCATATTATCAATTTATTTGTTGGTTATTTTCCGAAACGCCAAAAATTCACCCAAGGATTGAAAGAAAACATTTACATACAATAAAGAAATTTAGCAAACCCTCATATTTAAGAAATTAGAACAGGTGAATGCTTTGCTTCCTAAATGAATTAAAGCTACAGCCAATAGGTGATTATCTTAGCTTAGCATAAAGACTGGAAAACGAGGGGAAACAGCAAGCCTGGCTCTAGCTAAAGCTAAAACAAATCCACCAACCACCACCTAACGGTCACGAATTAACACCTTATATGTGGGTTGTTCAGTGCGTACAAAAACTGAGGCATAAAAAGTACAACTTCTGGATGTTGTTACCTTTGGACAGAGCCTGGCGAGCTGTTTCCCCCAGCTTCCAGTCTTTATGCTAAGCTAAGCAAACTGTCTCCTGGTTGTAGTTTCATATTTAGCGTACTGATATGCAAGAAAACGAATAAGGATATTCACCCAAATAACGAATAATTCCTTTAAATGATTAATGTTCTATTAAATATGCTGAAGTCACATCATGATACTGAAACAACAAAGATGCATATCTGCATTTGACAGCATTATATGTATTCCCTTGTGTTGTTGCTGAAACATTGTGTTACTTAATAGAAACAAACGCCAAATGCATCACAAACACAAAAGAAGTACAGATCCTCTGTGGCGAAGCAGTCACCCCCGTTGTAAAGGTACCAGAGAAAGATTCATCACTGAAAAAGCGGCTGGTGTGACTGAGATTCATGAGCAGAGAGTCACAGTCAAACCACTGAGTCTCACCGGGAATGAATGAGTGGATTCAGTGCGGGTTATTTGACTCCCCGTGGGGATCGGCATGGCAGCAGCACAGGAACACTGGCAGCTGAATAATCATGTTTGATTTCATTGGCGGTGCGCTGTCGAAACAGTCATTTCCTGCTTTGAGTTACCGTACTAGTGCTCATGCTTATCTTCTAAGTATTTACTGGAAGAACACGTGTTTATTATGTGATATTTCATGTACACATTGTGTAAAACAATTATACCATAAATGATTAAGAAATCCACAAAGAAATACGACGAGTCTTCTTATTACTGTGAAGCAGTTTTCCACTTTAGTCACAGTTTATCTGAACATTACATCATTTGAATGTGTAACTTTGCAGTTTGCACGTTAACACAGCATCCTGCCTGACTTCCCCCAACAATATATTATTACAATTTTACAGAATATTCTCAGGAGCAAATATCAACAGAAACAGAACTTGGAGCCAACTTGACATAAAAATCGAACAGCTCCCGTTATTTGAAGCTGTGACTTCCCTCTCGAACTTTGCACCACACGGTTTTGTGGTGTTTGTTTCAACCTAACTGTTTATGGTACATCCTCTATAAAAGATAAGAACTCTATTTACCAGAATCCTCTTTGCATAACAGAACTAATGAATCTACATGGCAACATAAATGCTGCCAGACTTGTTTACCAACAGACAAACAAGGCAGAGGATACATTCCCTCCACTTCCTGAGAGGACACAACTGATAAATGTGTTTGCCCTCCCCTATCACATATTTCATTATCTCAGCTGGAAATAGGAACAGAGATGCGGGGACGAGAGTGGAAGAGGGTCAGAGACAGAGAGATGAAACAAACAATCAGGCTGTCATAAAGAAAACGAGAGAGGCGAAAGAGAATGATTTAGTGTTTGGTGGCCGGAGATGTTTCCAAAACAGAGCTCTGCAGCACTTCCTCCCCTCCTGCTGCAAACTTCCAGCCCATGGGGCATTTGTGTGTGCATCAATTAGAGTGTCTCTATGTGTTATGTCCTTATCTGTTCCATTTGCAGAAGGAAATATTAACTCCTAACAACTGTTATATGTGCTTATCTTTGTGAAGATAAGGAGAAAGAGGCTGTGAGAAAAGAGGAACTGCAGAAGTTTGCAGTCGGAAAACAGAAAGACTTCTTCACACTTCAGTCACACTAGACCAGCAGAAATCCCACTCAGGTGACAGATTATCAGTGTGTGTTTGTGCTCCTCTCTGTACTACAGTCTACACGGGTGGACCTTTAAATGTCGGAGGCATTCGAGAAGCAACCTTGTGACCCTCTCATCATGACAAACGTAGCATCTCAGGCCTGCCGTTGGATTTAAAGAGCCCATTCTCTCTGTGCTCTGCTGCTATTCAATATATAAAGAATAATGTATGCACTCAGTCCAGCATTCAGTAGATGTTCGTTTCAGAGGCAGACACACTTTGCAGATGCATTAATTGAGAGGATGCGAGTGTCTGTGCGTATGTGTCTATGAGTGTGGCAGAGAAATTGCAGGAAAAAGAGAAAACAGACCACGAGACCACAAACCACAAAGCGGCTATATCTGCTTTAAAGCATCTTATCAGTGTTTCCATATTGCAAAGTTGCTGACCTCATCCTCAAGACGTTTTTTTAAAAATATTGTTTTCCATTTTATCCCCATTCATTTCTGCAGGGGTATGACAATCTATTAGCAGACTCATGAAACTTTCTTTATTTGACTAATCCAATTACAGTGAACATACACTCTGCATTAGTGTTTGCCAAAGTTAAATAATCTTTGCAAGGTTAATCAGTTTAAAGGGGCACTCCGTTGATTTGGTGTCACACTTGAGAGGGAAAAATACAAATAAGAATGCGGGATTAATAGTTGTGCATAGATCTAGCCAAGCCATTTCCACTACAAACATCCTGCTCACCTGCTCGACCTCTGCACAGCTGACGGCTGTCACCAAATCCACCGAACCACCATCAGAGAACTAGCAGCGATGAAGGCCGACTGTCGCTCCACAGTCCCCCTTGTCTTGGCTAGCTAACGGCCGACTACTGCATCATGTACGTTTTGCGCCTGCCTGAGAGGAAATAACTCTACCAGCAGGTGGCGGTCATATATTTTTAATTTAAAAAAGGGGTTACCGGAACATCTAGTACTGCTGATTTACAAGCCGTTGTTATGATACATGAAACAAAGCCGACCATTTTCACTTTTAAAAACGAAAAATCTGCCTTTTCTTTAAACTCACAGCGTCTCATCAAACACTCAAACATGCACACTTGTTTATATGAGAGTGCATGGATGCATTAAACAGCATCCTCTCCTCCCATACACATCCACTCTCTCTGAGTCTCTTCTCTTGTCACAAACAACCTGATAAACCACAGCACCGTGCATGTTGAAACTCTGCTCCATGCTGCCCGTCTCATGTCTCTCTACCCTGTCTCCTTACAGCCTCTGCTGGGTTGTGTGTTCGTTACAGGTCAAGGATGTTGAAGCGCGTATGTGTACGTTGGCCTCGGTGAATGTCGGGGGCTCCTTCTCAGACGGCTCTGTCTGAATCTGCCCTGCAGCTATCTCACTGTAAAAATGAGGAATGTCCTCGAGGGAAGAAAACTTAATTAAGATACATTTTAAAAATGAGTGGGGGAAAAAAAAAACAGGCTGGTGAGAGATATGCCCACAGACGACTTGGGGTAATTATTAAGTGGGTAGATCAGATACTTGGTGTGAGAGGAGAAAATGAAGAAGTCAGTATAAAGTGAGCTTGTGGGAGGAGAACGAAGGAGAGAGGAGCAGAGAAAGGTTTCTTTGATGTGTCCTGTCCCCTCAGGTGATTCTCCCTATACCATTCATTAGGGGCCGCTTTCCCCGGAACCTTCCTGTCGACGTGCCATCTGGAGGGCCCTTAAAAGAATACCCACATTACACTCCTCTACTTCACTACAAGAGCCCTGTGTTAACATCCACTGCCCTCCTCCTCCTCCTCCTCCTCCTCCTCCTCCTCCTCATCCCTTCTCCCTTTCTCTGCATTGGTCCTTTAAGTGCTCCCATTTCTTCACGGTTACGTTAGATGGTATCAGATGAAACTTTAATGGGCCTCATGGGGAAAATGGGTCATTGCAACAGCAGCGAATGTAGATAGATTGATATATAGATAGAAAGATAGAAGACAGATACTACTTTCTGACATTTAATAGACAATTTATCAATAGTGAATATAATCTTTGGTGCTATTGCACATGTTCATTAACGTTAGATAAAGAGGATGGGGTTTGCCAGTCACCAACCAAATCACATTTAATTTGTGGTAGCAGTTAGAGAAAAGAGATGGATTTTAATATAAAAGTTATATGATAGTTGTTTATGTTCTGTGTTAGGGTGAAAATAATGAAAATATAATACTATATATCATGCGTTTAATCGCAGATATATTGTGTATATGTTGGCCGATGAATACCAAGAAGAAGAGGATAGCGGATCGGAGTATTCTCTTATCGAGAATATGAAAATGTGCTTTGTAAGCATTTAAAGACAGAAGTAGCATCTGTCAGTCATAAACAGTTACTCTGAATTGTATCCAAAATGAACACAAACATGAATTTTAGTGCCTGCAGGAGTCAAAAGAACAGATTGATCTCCTCCATAAACCCATAACACAATAACAGCCACAACCCCGCTCTCCAATGTGCTATATACTGTACGTCTGTGCCGAGGGTGGAAATTGTTGGGCACTCCCTCGTTCAGCAAAACACAATGAAAGACCACAATGCATTTCTGATAGGGGACAGCTCATCTCCGCGTAATTATGGTGCAATATAATAAATCTTAGTTTGTATAGTAAGACACTCCCTGTGCTACAAGCTTCACAGTTGCTGACACTGATTTTACAAGTGGAAATGTATAAAGAGCTGATAATAGAGATGGAGCAAACAAATTGAATCCATTGTGTTTACAAAATCGCTTCTGTTTTTCTCTGCCATTCACCTGCAACACACCATCGTAATTGCAATATTCTCGCCACTGGTGCAACATTATCCGACGGAAGTGTTTGGCAAATGAGTGGTGAAAGACGTTAACAAGTGCGAGCCGAGTTCAGCGAGGGCCAGAGCTCATTACTTCCCCCTTCTCCCTGGACAGTTAACCGCCACACAGACATTACTACCACGCTGAACTGAGGCAATTTCTCAACTGTGTTATGCTCTGAGCAGTTAAACAGGTTTTTTGTTTACGGGAATACTTGTGACTGAACCAGCTCCACCTCTGCTGTTGATAGTGTATACTGGCTTACGTGAGTGAAACTGACAGTCCGCTCCTGGAGGCAATAAACCCTTCGGTGTCGTTCATAAGCTCTCTATTCAATTTAATCGAATTTCATCAACCGGGATAATCTAACTGAGCAAGGGCAACTGTAATATCATCAGAGGTAATTTGTTCAATACGCTGCAGGGACGTTACATCAGCACCGTTAAAATGTCCAGCAGGATCCCTGTTATCTGATCTGTGAAACATGAGAGTACATGCAGTCTGCGCGGCAACACACACACACACACACACACACACACACACACACACTCCCAGACCCCCATAGACATGCACTAAACACACACACACACACACATGTAGGACACACATGTGTATCGAGCATCTAATAAAAGGGGGCAGCTTCATCTTCCAGGCACAGGACGCACATAGATGTCATTGAGTATTACATTAATTTCCCAGTTGATCACTAATACAGGGAAAGCATTATACAGTAATTTACCCTGATCATAACAGCATGTGTGCACTCCCCAGTCTTTCTCCTCTCTGCTTGCTAACAAACCTCAAATCCCACATAATCTCCAGTTTCATTCTTCTAATATGAGCAAAACAACTCTGCCAGCTTGCAAACCAAATATTTCAGGGTGCTAGGTGCCTGTTAGTGAATGCACTAAGCAGGATTAGAACCATTTTCCTGATAAAACCCCCAGCTAGTGTGCATGTGTTTGTGTGCGTATGTTTGTGAGTGTGTGTGTGTGTGTGTGTGTGTGTGTGTGTCCGTGTGATGCAGAAAAGAAGCCTGCACTTTCACTGAGTGCATGTAATTTTATTATCTGGGTCTACCCACCAGAAATTATTGTGGGCGTTTTTTTTAATTTTTTGTTAATTCCTCCATGCGATTTTGCTTTGAAGTGACCTAAAACATGACTCACAGATGGATAACCTGGCTGGTATTTAATCATATTTGCATATAAGGACGGTTTCATTTATATTAAATATGTCAGAACAACGTGTATAGGCTATCCACTCAATGGATGAATGAAACCTCTCAGTGAAAACAAGCATGCAACTGAAACACACTAAAAAAGTAAATTATAGGCCTATTCATATTTAGACAATTTGTTTGCTTTCATAGTCAAAGCGTGTATATTTAGTGCATTATGGAAAACATACTTGATTTAATTTGGCTATGATTGATAACTGTTTTTTCATGATTAGTCATAAAAAGTAGCTGGATATGTGCTATAAATACAGCACACATAAAGTTAACATTGAGCAGGGTGAGCATGATGACTACAAACTAATCACACGCGAACTATTACGATGTTGTGATAATTATTATTATTTTATTTCCTCATGACTATCAGCGTTGCTTCATAGTGTCAACTTACCTCTTGTTCCAGCAGCCGTTGCTTCAGTTCATCCTGCGCGGAGGTTTTTGTCTTTGTCCCGGTGCGGTGGTCCCGTCAGGTCCTGCAGTCCTCCACCGGTCTACAGCCGACACATGCGGAGTGCGGGAGCGGGTGTGAGCGCTTGTACCGCCGAGTGTCGTGAAGCCCGCAGGAGAGAAGCAGACGATCACCGGAACATGAGTACTACCTTCAAAATAAAATATATCTACTGATACAATTCTGAAACACTTAAGTTCAGAGGCTTAAATAGATTTTTTTTGACAGCCTGTTCATGAAGCTGGGCTTTTGCTTCACAGAGAAAAAGCTAATGAATGTATTTCAGAAAATGTTGAACTATTCAAATCAGTGTTATTGACTTATAACTCTACAACCTATAGTAGTCTTATAGCATACAATAAGTGTAGAAATGTTCATTAACATACGCATCATCTTCAGTTGATGTCATTTATGTAAATTATTAATTGGCACAAAAATATAGCTTTTTAATTTTTGAAAATATCCAATAATTGACAAAAAAAAATGTATTGCATTTATCAAGAGTTATGGAAATTAGCCTAATAAGCCTGGAGGGTAACATGCGTTCCACTATGTGAGTGCATGACTTTCCGCAGCTAATTTCAGATACAACTGGACTGATCAGTCTGATATTTTTAGTGCACTTTTATGATCGTGTGCTCAAGGACCTCTCGTGGTTGTGTGAATCACAATTTTGGAAAAACCTGTTTTATAGACTGACTATTACTTTTAACCAGGGCCGAAAGCGATCAGCAACTGCTTCAAGCTGGGACATTTGATGAAAGGGAAGAAGTGCGAAAATTATAAAGTTTTATTACACCAAGTAAGGAAATAGTTCATGTTTAGTATGTGAAGTGGCTATTTGAACACATGTGTAACTTGTTTGTTGCCAATACTTAATTCACAGACATAGAAATGTCCAATACTGTGTTGTCCTAGAGATATTGGTTAGGGTTCAATTAGACCACAGATAAATCCAACTCCCTATCTTATGCTATACATATTTGGGATTTGGGAGGGATGGTGCTGCATAAAAAGTTGCCTGCTGTATTTATCCATGTTTTTCAACAGAAAGAAATGTGGCATTTAGTGGATTGGAAACATGAAATCAGATCAAAATGTTGCGTGTTTAAAAGCAATTCTAATGAAGTAATAATAAAATAGGAAGAGTCATAAAGCTATTAAAAAACAATGTTAAGTATGTTATTTGAACTGTGATCTAGTGTTAGTCTTGTGATGAACTTGGACAGTTTAGATAAACCAGTCATCAATTGATCAACAAATATACATCTTATTTTGAAGGTTTACAGCGGAAGTTGTGTATGTTAACGTGGTGAACTTGATGGTAGCGCTCTCTCGGTGAAGGGTCCGCTGGTCCAACCAGCTCTCCTCTTCCCTCCGCCCCGCTCTCACATAAAGACAGCTTTGTTAGTTGTTTCAAGACGCCGTTACAGCGGCAGGAAACACTGCTGCCTTTCATTTCTAAAGACAACAAGAAGCCCGACTGACTCCAATTCATGTGAAGTCGACAAAAAGATCCATCCTAATCTAAACTGAGAGGTTCTCTGTCAAAAGACAGGAAGCATAAAAAACACATTTCTTTGTTATTGTAGTCTCATACTAATATATCATCTAATTAAATTACATTATTACATCACACGGTGGCGGAGGAAGTAGTTACTTAGTTATTTTACGTATTAGGTAAAAGTTGCAATAGCTTAGCACAGTGAAGATACTCTATTAGAAGTAAAAGAACAACATTTGTATTCAAATACACTAAAAGTACCAAAAGGCCCATTTCAGAATAAGTAGGCCTATCATATTATTGGATTATAAGTGAAACATGAATGTGTTCATCACTTTAATGTTGAATTCCCCCTATAGGGACCAACAACGTCTTATCTTAATAGAATTCATCTGTTGTTTACATTTTGTATTATCAATTTGAATCTGCACAGAAGTATAAAGTAGCATTAAATGGATATACTTAAGTAATACTTGAATAATAACTTGTGGCTGATGAGGGCAAACGGTCCTCAACACAGGTTAAATAGTGCAAAGTCTATTTATTCTCATATGTGACACAGCAGCGACCCCACATGGCCGACTATGGAACTGCAACGTCCGCAAAAGCGCACCAGAGAAGTAACGACGCTAATTAGATCAATAGAGTTAAGTCGGTTATAGGTCGTCGTTAGCAAATTTGAGGCTTAATTCCCCACCAGCTCTCCTTCACTGTGAAGAGTTGCATCATTTCATTCAGGGATGGACTGAGGTGTGGAAGTCCTCTGGGAGCTGTGATTGAGGGCGAGGCGTAAAACACACCTGAACCGACCCGAGGAGAAGCACCGTCTCCAGGCGAGGTGAATGCTGAACGAAGCCTCGGGGCGTCTACCCGGTGCAGCGCGCTGTTCTCTGAAGACTCGCAGCATTTGATATTACAAAGCAGACCTTTGCACGCTCATCATAATGGCATCATGCCTGTTGGATGTTTCATATACAAAGTGATAACAGCCTTGTCAGCGAGCACAAGAGAGGGGAGGGGGAGCAATTAGGACCGAGGATGTGCCAGCGTGTTGGAAACAACGTCCCGCAGGCTTTCTGCTTCTTAACGAGGCAACTGGGAATCATTCGGTTTCTTCCTAAAACACGTTACGAACACATTAGACGTTAGAAGAGACGTGTGAGATAAAACAAATAACAAAAAAAATAATTATATATATATAAAATTATATATATATATATATATATAAAATTATAT